TCTCCTCTTTCTCGCATATCACGTGACCGCTCTCGGCTAATGAGATTCTGGTTGGGCGTCTCCCGTCCTTCGTGACGTCTCCAATCGGGCGTGGTCTATCCGGGGTTGTGTTCTGGGAAAGAACACCTTGCTAAAAAAAAACAAAATCCAATTTGGCCTTTTTCGCACGCACGAAAAATGACAATCTCGGCCTTTCTCACCTTTTTGGCTTTTGTCAAAACAGCCCGCCGCTAATTAGATGTGACTTCAGGAAGAATTTTTCTCGTCTTGCTGGCGCTTTCTGTGAGCCAAAACAATTGTTTTCACCTCTTTGTTTTCGCTCAGGCCTGATAGTCAAAATCTTAATTATCTGAATTGAAAATATCTTCACTTTATCATCGTGGGGTTCTAATCTTCAACTAGAGCTGGTCAAATCTGTATACAATTCCAGCGGTCACCTTCTCATCCCAAAAGACACCTTTTTCCGATTAATATTTTTTTTCCATTGTTCTAAAAATCCCATTTCTCCAAATTGATAATGAACTCCCACATTCCGTGGACACAAAAAGTAGGCCAGATGTTTTGACCGATATTTTTATCAATCGTACGTATGTTCATCCACTTTTACCATGTCTGTTTTCTTTTTCTTTTAATTACCTAAAATTTATTCTCCCAAATAACAATTTCCATTGTTTTGAAATTCGGTCAGGCGCGTTGGCCTAGATATCTCTTGACACCTGTTTTCGCTTATGACCGGCTTTTTGCATTATCCATCTCTCCTCTTTTTTTTTTCTTTTCCTTTTTTTTTTTCCTTCTTCTTCCCTTAGGATCGCCTAAATACAATTAGAGAATTATTCTCAAAACTCAATTATTCTTCGTCTAAATAACTAACAACTGGTTAATAAACCGAATAAAAATTAAATCATATTTCTATGAATATTTCTTTTTAGTTTTTCTAATAATGCAGGGTGCCACACATATATGTATAAAAAAAAGACAATAGGAAATCAAAATAAATTCAAAAATTCTTTTTCAAATAATTTGTTTATTTTCCAAAGTACTTTCAATCTCATCTGAAACTACATTCAGGGGCTTGTGTGTATGTGTGTTTAAATAATTTAGATGTATGTATAATATTTCTTACTTCTATGCAACTTATGTGATTTAAAAAAATGAATTTACACTTAGATACGCAGCCCCTGAATATGGTCTCAGATAAGATGGAAAGTATTTTGGAAAATAAAAATTTATTTATCAATTTTCTACAGCTACCAAGAAATTAATTTGTGAACTTGAAATGATTAAAACTGAAATAAATAGACATAATACGTCTGAAGATGCTTGGGTAAAATATGCTGTATATATATATATATATATATATATATATATCTCACTCATAATAAATGTGAAAATATTATGTGTGTCACACTTTTTCAATTAAAATAGACAAAAACTAACTTTTATCTTCTTCAAATGAGATTTGCTCATCCAGGATTGGAATTGAATCCTCAGATTGCAATTTAGATCTTTGGAATTGACAAAGTGATGAACTTGGCTCAAAGAGATCTCAGCAATTTTGGTCTGCTTCACCCAAACAGAGAAACTGGACAAATCAACAGAGACATTTTAACTATACAACATGGAAGAACTGCAGCAATGTGTTAAAAACAGTGAGCGACTGTTGAATGAAGACCAACGTCAAATGTATCAGAAGGACCTTGATGACATCAGACACAACAATGGAGGGGTTTTCTTTTTTTGATGTACCTGAAGGTACTGATAAAACTTTTGTAATTAACCTTATTTTATCTGCAGTGATACTCCAAAGAAAATTAACACTAGCATCATCTGGATTTGCTACCCTTTTGCCTGCAAGACTTATAGCACACAGCACCTTCAAACTTCCATTAGATTTTAACTACAATGAAACCCTTATTTGCAACATCAAAAGAGGAACCAACTTGGCTAAGCTACTGAAGGAGATAAGCTTCATTGTCTGAGATGAATGTATCATGGCACACAAGTTGAGCATTTGAGACCCTGGACAAAACACAGAAAGACATTAGACAGAATTCACAGTTTCAGTCTCAAGTATCCAAGAATTGATTAACCATGTTTATTCAAACATTAAACACCGTTTCATGGATTCAAACTTTGTGAGAGGGCCATATTAGCACCCAAGACTCAAACTGTCGATAGCATCAACGGGAAAATTCTCGGAGAAATTCCAAAAGAAAGGATGAAGTACTTTTCCATTAACTTTATGGTTGAAGAAGAGCAGGCAGTGAATTATCCAATAGACTTCCTGAACTCATGGAATGCCATCGCAATAGCTGGAAATAAGAAAATATGCCAGTTACATTGAGAAATCTAGATCTTTCAAAATTTTGTAATGAAAGAAGGTTAATTGTCAAGATGCTTCCTCATCTCTTGGAAGCAGAGATCCTTACTGGTCCCGAAAAGGAAAGATTTTTTAATACTAAGAATCTCCTTAATTCTTCAAGATCTTCCTACTGAGTTCAAAAGACTTCGGTTTCCAGCGAGAGAGAGCCATGCAATGGCGATCAATAAGTAGCAAGGACAAGCAATTGAAAGAAACCTTGCTATCCTCATGGCTAGCTTTATGTTGGTTGTTCAAGGTATTAGCATTAGTGTAGTCATTGATACACTAACACTGGATACGAACATAGAAAGACGAAATACGCGAGCGTAACAAACAAAACATTTAGTAAGGCAAACAACTTACATACATATATTCAAAAAATTTACATATGTCCCAAAACAAATGATTGTCCATATTGTCCCAAAGGAACGAGGAGGTTTACAGAATGAGAACAAAGAAATAACATTCCAACTTTATGGCCTTTGGTCGTCCCGTAGATAAGTGAAGAGCAGGTACTTTTTTCTTTCGCTAGGCCGTGCACATGTTGACCAGTTTCCACGTGTGAAGAGGTCGTTCCTCCAAAAAATGGAAGCAAAGACAAAAAGGGCAGAAGAGTTCTACTCACTAAAAGGGGCCAAAACTCCCATGGGCTCAACCCAAGGGAAAACAACTGTGGGTCCCTAAAAATACCCCCTCCCTAGACAGGTTCATTAACCTGCACTAGAGGTACAACTAAAATGTAACAAAAACAAAACTTCACAACATGTATTACAAATTTAAAGAAACATGCTTTTGCAATCGAATGAAAAAGGAAGAGTTCGATGTGGAGGGAGGAATATCCTCCAGTTATGGTTATACTGAACCCAAAACCTGAAAATGACTTATGTCAATAAATGTTTGGGCCATTTAACATGACGGCCAGATCTGGTCACAGTCTCTTTTACTACCTCCGGTGCCACTGGTGATGGAGGAGTCACTGAAGTGTCCATGTTGAGCCAGGTAGTGTCCAAAAAGTCAGGCTTTAATCTGTCCATAGTAATGCTTTGTGTTGCATTGTTAACGCTCACCATAAAATATTTCGAATGTCTCTCAAGGACTTTGAAGGGTCCCCTGTAGGCTAGCTGCAATGTGTGGGACTTAGCCAAGTCTGTAGTAATTACAGCAGGGACCCCGAAACGGGAAAGCCACCCTGAAACAAAAGTCTTTGCAGTGGTATGTGCCGTAATGTCCGACATGGTAAGAGCCTCACACCAACGGGAGAAACGATAAACACATGTCAAATATGTCTGTCCCTCACATGAAGGGAGTGGTCCAGTGATGTACACGTGCACATGTGCAAACCGCTCGCCGGGTGATGGAAAGAATCCAGGAGGTGAACGGGTATGTCTCCCCACTTTGGCCCTCTGACACGGCACACGAGTCTTTGGCCATTGCCGAATGTCAGTTTTCATGCGTGGCCAAATAAATCAGTCTGTGAATAGCCGTATTGAGGCATTATCTCCTGGGTGGGACAAATTATGTATAGAGGAGAATAACGTCTTCCGCATTGACTCAGACACGAAGGGGCGCAATCGTTCGGTGCTGGTGTCACATACAATTTCCAATTCTGTGTTTGAAACATGTATTTTCGACAACGTCAAGGATGTGTGGTTCTCTCGTAGCAGATGCTGTAGTTGCTGATCCTTTTCCTGTGCTTCCACAAATGATTGATGTTCCAAGCACGGGTCCAGCACAAAAGCATTTATGCCACAAGACAGTGTCTGCAGGTATGTTGTCCGTTCCCTTGAAGAAACGGATATCTGAAGTGAATTGTAACAGATAATCCAAGTGTCTGGTTTCACGTGGGGAATACTTGTCAGAGTTTGACTAAAAAGCCCCCAACAAGGGCTTGTGGTCTGTCAGTAAGTAGAAAGTCCGCCCTTCCAACAAATGTCGAAAGTAACGGACAGCTGAATAAGCTGCAAGAAGTTCACGTCCAAATGTGCTGTACCTGGATTCCGTAGAAGTTAGTTTCTTGGAAAAGAAAGAAATTGGTTTCCAGTGGTCATCGATCTTCTGCTGTAGTACTGCACCCACACCAACTGAAGAGGCGTCAACTGCCAAACAGAATTCGCTCTCTGGGACAACATGTGACAATTCAACTGCTCAGGACAATAAAACCTTAATTCGATGGAAGGCTGCCAAGGCTTCAGACAAAACTATGTCACAATTTTTGACATCAGTTAGAATATCTGTCAAAGGTTTTATAACCTGCGCACAATTTGGCAGGAACCTTCGAAAAAAGTTCACCATCCCTAAAAACTGTCGCAATTTTCTCATGGTATCTGGCACGGAAAAGTCAGAAATGGCCGCCACTTTAGATGGAGAAGTTGAAACTCCAGCTGAATTAATGCGGTGACCTAGGAAAATAACTTCAGAGATTCCAAACTCACACTTTACTGGATTGATAACCACCCCAAGTTTCTCAAAACACTCGAAAATGAGCTGTAAATGTTTAATATGTTCTTCCATTGAAGAACTGGCTAAAAGGACATCATCCACATAGGCACGGACAAAATTCAGACTGTGCAATACATGGTCAATAAATCCCTGAAAAGACTGTGCTGCGTTTCTTAGTCCAAATGGCACACGCAGAAACTCAAAGATGGTAGGCCCCGATAAGGTCTAATTTAGTAAATATGCACCTATCCTGAATGATGGCCGTTACATCATGTATAAGAGGAATGGGATAACGGTCAGGTTTAGTGGCAGAGTTGAATGCCCTATAATCACCACAAGCGCGCCAAGTACCACCACTTTTGGGTACCAGGTGTAAAGGAGATGCCCAGTTACTCTTTGATGGCCGGATAATACCAAGTTCCATCATTTGGGTAAATTCCGCTTTCGCCACACTCAATTTTTCCGGTGCCAGACGACGAGGACGGCTGTGAACAGGAGGACCGCTAGTAGCAATGTAGTGTGTTATATTGTGGGGTAAAATATCTTTGTGAAAAGCCGGTTTAGTAATACTCTCAAACTTTTGTAAAAGTTCACAGGACATAGGGTTATCTTCTGTGTTAGCCACAGTAGGACATAATGGAATTAAATTATGAATGGCTCCCGGCGATTGAGTATTTGTCTTAGGGTCTGTCAGACAACGTCTGTGAACATCAATGAGAAGACCAAATTTGTGTAAAAAATCTGCACCCAATATGGCCTTCTCTACATCCGCAAGGATAAAGAAATGGGGGAAAACCCGTCTCAGACCCAAATTCAATGTAAGGCACCTCTGACCATAAGTCTGGATGAGCGACTTATTCACGGCCTGTAAGGTAAGTTTGTGAGGGCCTTTTAACTTGTCTGCCCTAGTGGCAGGAATTAAAGATATTTGCGCACCACTGTCTACGAGAAAACGTGTACCAGTAGCGCGGTCCGAAACAAATAGTAAGCGACAAACATCTCCCAAGCCGGCGCACCGAGTCGCCTCCGGTCGCCAGCCTAGGCTTTTCCCTGTTGCGAATTGAAGGAACAGGTGAGCATACAATAATTAGCCCTATCTCCGAATTTCCTGTGTAAGTAACACATTAACACACCTTGCTAACAGCTCTTGCACGACCTCTACTTTGGAAGCGGAGAACGCTAATCTTCTGCAACCGTCTCTCTAAGTCTTCCATCCTAGCCTCTAACCTTCGTTGTCCCTCCAAGAGTCTAGCCAGTGGATCTGGCTCTTGCGTCTGTACGGCAAAAACGGGAGCAGTGCATCCCGAAGTTAGGTCACCTACATTATCTGCTATTTTAGTCAGCTTTTCGACGGGTGCATCTTCACCCACCGCGGCTAAAACGGCGTGATAATCAGAGGGCAAACGCTGGAGAAAAATATGACGCATAATGCCATCCTCATTACCTTCTCCAGCTAGATGCTGCAAACGACGTAAAAATTGCGACGTCTTGATGTCTCCCAATTGTTCCTCATGTAAAAGCTGCGACAATTTCTTTTGCCGTGACATAGACGTCCTCCGAACAAGTTCCTCTTTTAACTTGTAATATGGCATGTCTTTCGGCGGAGAGATAATAATTTCTCTCACCTCCTGGACAGCTTCAAGAGGCAACTTGGAGACCGCTATTTTTTTTTTTTTTTATAGGAGGTAATTCCTCTCAGTTTGCACTCTGACGAACTGATCGAAAAATAAAACTGAGTCCGCTTTAACGTAGGCTAGGCTGACAGTGTTCACCGCCAAGACAGCGGCCGTTTTTTCCTCATTCATATCGTATATTTTTTATGGGGATAGTTACCCCACAGAAATACGCCTCACAATGCGAAGTACAACAGAGAAAGAAAAACACAAACGAACCTAAATGTTTTAAACAAAAATTCAGAAATGGCTATCACTGCTATTACCACTACCAACCTCCTACACCCACTAATGGGTGTTGTCAACTCTAGCAGTAAGCCTGCCTCTAAGAAGCCGGCGCCAAAATCAAATACAGGATGGAAGAAGAAGCACACGACGTAGAGGGAAGCCACATTGCCATGTTATACAAGTCGTCATTCCTATATCGCAAATTATTTGTGTCGAAAGAAAGTTAACACTTACAGTTATTTTTCAAATTGCAAAAATATACTGACACGTCGGAGTCACCACTTATTAGTATCGGTGTGCTACTGGAAGGTTAAAAAACGTTAGTCTTCCAAACACAAAATAGTAAACTGTGTGGCAGATACCACCATACTAATATTAGCATTAGTGTAGCCATTGATACACTTACACTGAATACGAATATAGAAAGACGAAATACGCGAGCGTAACAAACAAAACATTTAATAAGGCAAACAACTTACATACATATATTCAAAAGATTTACATATGTACCAAAACAAATGATTGTCCATATTGTCCCAAAGGAACGAGGAGGTATACAGAATGAGGACAAAGAAATAACATACCAACTTTATGGCTTTTGATCGTCCGCAGATAAGTGAATAGAAAGTACGTTTTTCTTTCGCTAGGCCGTGCACATGTTGACCAGTTTCCACGTGTGTGGACAACCTGGTGGTCACGAAAGTAAAGAGGTCGTTCCTCCAAAAATGGAAGCAAAGACAAAAAGGGCAGAAGAGTTCTACTCTCTAAAAGGGGCCAAAACTTCCATGAGCTCAACCCAAGGGAAAACAACTGTGGTCTCCCTACAAAGGGTTGGGAACGGAAACAATCTATTTGTACTAATGGGAAAACAAAAAAAAAATGTTTATCATGTAGCTTTCAAATACGTTCCAAATAGACATTATATGATAATTTTGATGAAAACATTTGCTTAAAAATACTGTTCAAGTTTAATAAAATTTAAATGTACTTAGTGCATGAAGTGTCATTGTTGGAACGGATGTCTAATCAAGAGCCTTCCACAAGAGCTAGCTTAAATGCTATATAAAGCTAACCCCCTCTCTCTCTCTCTATATATATATATATATATATATATATATATATATGTATGTGTGTGTGTGTGTGTGTGTTCTTTTTCAATGATACAAAGAATTAACAAAGAAGTGAGACTTACCCTTCAGTTTCCCTGCGGAATACGCAAATCCCTGTTTAATCTCTCAATATGTGAATTTATTTAGAAAATAAATTTCAACTCCGATCTTCGTCTTTCTTCTCGGCTATTGAATGAATTCGCTAAAAGTACGCATTTGATTACATCGACGCTATGAATTGGTTAGTTGAAGTGTACAGCGACAGGTAAATTGTTGCTATTGTCCTTGATTGTTTTTTTTATGGTTATTGAACCGAAGATTGAATTCTGTTTCAGATTTCCAACAATTTCCCTTTTAGAATGTGTGGCAGAAAAGAAAATATACAAGATTTCAATTGTCACAATTCAGAGCCGCTGATTTGAATACTACGCGAGTGGCAGAGGGAGAGAGTGAAGTTTCTATTAGTCATGATATGTGTACTGACTTTGCATCAGGGTTTTTTGCAGGTTATATTCCCTTGGTGATATTGTAAATGATGTCTAACCGGATGATGTTAAGAGTATGTAGATTGTGGGGCTGCCACTTAGCGTGAAGTGGTTTTTCGCTGAGTATTTTCCCAATTGTTTGGTCAAATTTTAAATACTGGAAATCTTTTAAGATGGGGAAAGCTTGTGAATAATGTAATTAAAATAAAAACATGGGAATAGTGGAATGATTCTTTTTGTTTCATAGGTTAAAAGAGTATTTCTAATTTGTTTAGAAGCATTAGTAATTGAGTGTTTGATAGTTTTATTTTATGCGTAATCATTGGTTATAGATTGATTTTTTAGGTTGGTGGGGTGGCAGCTATTGAAATTTATGTAACAATGGCCATCTGTGGGTTTGGTGTATCGCTTTTTTACCCCCACAAAATAACACTGAGCATTATTAAATAAAAAAAACTGCACATCACTTTCAAAATGTGCCTGGCGATTAAAAAAAAACAAAAAACAACCGCTAGAACTACACTACTAGCTGGGAAATAATCGCAAAAGCTAAGCCACACAATAAAAAGGAAGACAGTTGTAACTTCTGTTCGTTGGAGAAGCTAATTATATTAAAACACTTAAATAACCATAACCTGTTGAAAACAAGGACTGAATTAATGTCTACATCTATACATAAAAGCAAGCACCTGCTAAAACACATCGACCCCGAATAAAAGTTTACAAGATAGATTTCAAGAATATTATAATATGCAACAACTTTTAATATTCTGAGAACCATTATTAATAACATTTCTTGTATATCCATACACACAAATAATCTAATATTTCTGTTCTCGATTTATTTATGACATATTTATATAATTGCACCTTGTAAGTACAAGGCTTGGTTCCAAGAACATTAGTTAGATAGCGCCAACCTATTATTTTTTTTATTTGTACCCTTATATTTCCATCCCCAGTATTAGTTTTGTTATTTGATATTTTGGTCAAAGATTGATACTTTTATTTTTTTTAATCTAAATTTAAATTCAAATAATTAAAAAAAAATTCTTAATTTTATTTTTTCTTTCGAATTTATGAAATTAAATGATATAAATTATTTAATTCTAATATTTTAGGCAACAATAATTAAATGAAAAAAATTTGAATACAAAATTTTGAATTATTAGCAGGAGAACGCGAATTAACGGTCAGAGTGTATTTGCACCTGAATATTGCAGCATGAAACTGACTAGTGCTATTGAAGTTGGTTGGTTGGGTTTTATGGCATTTCAAACACTGTAGGTCATTTAATGCCAAATTAAGTTTTATATATATATATATATATATATATATATATATATATATATAGTACTATTAAACGTATAGCTGGCAACTTTATTTTTCCGAAAACATTATCTGAGGCCTTGCTGTTGGACGTAGTTTACCACCATACCCAGGACGCAGATGTAGTTTACCGCCATACACAGGACGTGGGTAAGATATGGAAAAAACTAGGAATTCACTATTTGCCAATAGCTGGGAACCTAACAGGTGCTACCACCTCGGGTCAGGGTGGACCTGGGAAGACCAGCAATTAAGAAGCTCCTCAAAACCTCTTGATCAGAGGCCTTGCTGTATGATGCAGTTTAACGTCATACCCAGGACGATATCGAAGTTGGATATTATGTATTTTTCACTAATATCTCACTCGCCCACACACAGACAGATTATATATATATATATATATATATATATATCTCACACACACACACACATAAGCCATAAAATTTGATGAAGCAAAATTTAAGTATAGAATAAACGAAATTTCTTTTAAAAAAGATTAAATCAAGTTCAGAGGGAGGCCTTCAATTTTCTGGCACAGCCGAGAGTGTTTCGCTGTATTTGGAAGCCCACATCAAATCATTTGCGGCATGTTATTTCACTTAACGTGTTTTGTCTATATCCACAAAAGTGATGAGACTCGTAAGAGGTTCGGAAATTTGCTTGGTAGAGACTAACAATTTGATATAAAAAAAAAGAAAAAAGAAAAGAAATCCAAACATGTTTGATTTTGCAATTGAAATTGTCACGGTTTGTTACTTCCTGGCCAAATACATCGATTAAGATAAATTTCACAGAGTTTTTTTTTCTATACCAATAGAATACGTATAGCTGGCAACATTATTTTTCCAGTATTTTTTAATACAAGGCTGAAACGCAACTAAAGATAGACGGTTGCTGTGTGGTGTCGTATTAGCGTAAGAAATGATGTTCATGGGTTTATGTAGGAAAGATAACAGTTAATCTTAGACTTGAAGTGGTCAGCACTGTAGTGATTGCGAAAACAGCCTACTGGGAGTCTGTTCCACAGAACAGCAGTTCTTAGGGAAAATCTGTCCGAATGGAACTTCCTCCTTACTAACGGAATACAAAGGGAATTGGAATGGTGGGTCCCATTTTTTAGAGGTTAGGGTTGATAAGACCAAAGAATGAACAAAAGCGATAGAAATAGCGATAGAGCAGAGATGAGCTCGCGACGTTTCGTCCGTGAGGGAGAGGATTGTAGGGGGAAAAATAGTTCATCACCTACAAGGCCGCGTAGCCACTTTTGAACTATCAAAACAGGTAAGTGAAAATTTGGCAGCTTCATCCTAGATAGGGTTGAAATATTCTAATTTTATTCTGATCTAGCTCTTGTAAAGGCAGAGTGGAGTGTTGGTGGCGGGGGTGTCAATTATTGATTGAAACAGTACAATAAATCGATCATTTTTAAAATATGTTTAGCAATAGCTTGTATATAACAGTTCTAATTTATCTCAAACAATTCTGGTATTAACAACAAAGACATCTTGTGGAAACACGGTTGTTTTAATTAATTTATCTACAACAAAAGTAGGTTAAAGATATTGCAGCAAGTAAAAATCGATCATGTAAATGTAGTTTCGAAAAAGAGAAAGAAAAAAAAAAAAAGATCTATAAATTTAGAATTTGTCAAATGTATCCCGGCATTTAATTTAGGAGAGCCGCCTTTTACACAAATACCAGTAAGAATACTAAATGATCAGGGATGTTCACATCGAGTCTACTCTACTTTGTAAATAAATCTTCCATTTTATTATTAATCTTTTTTTACACTATTTACATCATTCGGACTATTGTCCTAATCTTTGTCGCCATATTTATTACAACGTTTCGGCCGTTGTACGCTCCGGCCTTTAGGTATTTGTAATGTCGAACTGAACCCTTTATTTCGCTCACTGCAAACACCTGAAGGCGGCCGGAGCGTACAAAGGCCGGAGCATACAACGGCCGTAAAGTTGTAATAAATATGCCGGCAAAGTTGAGAATAGTCCTTATAATGTAAATAGTGTACATAATACCTCATCTCAGTAACGTGTGTATGTGATTTATTTTCAGCAAACAAATGAATTATAAATGCATATTTAGATTTAAATTCGGAGCAGAGATGTTGGATAAAGACCAAGAGAAACTTTGCTTCCAGCCCAGGCATTAGATAGAAAAACATTGAAATGAAGCCAAAACAAACAAAATATATCCTTTTGAGAGACGTTCGCTCTTATATTGTTAAAACCCAAGCTGCCAAACATTATTTTATTCCGTAAAAACCTAAAGAAATATTAATTACCTAAAAATATTGGACCATATTCAAATAGTTATATCGTATAAAATACGAATAAACGCTCTCACTCATTTTGTACACTTATGAATGCGTAAAACGTCTACGCACGCACGCACATTTTTCTCAACTTTACCATTATTTCCAAAACTGAATGTCAACATTTCTGCTATAAAGAGATAATCCTTTGCGCATGTAATGAATTATTATCTTAGCTTATCGCACCCTTGTGCTAGACGTATGGCGTTGTAGTTTAGTCACAAGACAGACAAAAAATTTCCTCTCTTCTCGTCTAGAATTTGGCAAGCAATGATTAGAATTCATTTTTTAAAAAATTTTAATTAATCATATATTTAATTTGTGGGAGATCAGGGGACAACTATATCAAACTGGGTTTTCAGGTGAAAGTCTCGAACCAATAATCCTACCGACGGGTACAAAACACAGGTATACTATATAAGTTTTGATTAACGGTGAAATTCCTTTATGACGAGCTTTCTTTCTGCATCGTAAATGAAACTTGTTTCCTTCTAAAATAGTTTAATATATCGTTATTTTTTTTATTTTAAATTCCCTGAAATGGCGACGACATATAGTATTATACCTGCAGAATGTGAAAATATCGTCCGAATTAGGACCAAAAGCTCAAAAATTTCGAATGAATTGTGGAATAATGAGAATATTTATCTAAAAATTAAACCTACAGTAATTTATACAAACTGCTCGATACATCAAAATTAATTATTCTGGAAAGATAGGAATAGTCAGTTTGATAAATTAAAATTTTAAAATCACGTAGATGATAATCAGTTGGCGAAATCTTCTCTAATGCTTCTTAATAGCTTGCCAATTCATGAGTATATATATATATATATATATTTATTAGAGAAAGGGAAAGAAAGAGAGAGAAAGGGAAAGAAAGAGAGAGAAAGGGAAAGAAAGAGAGAGAAAGGGAAAGAAAGAGAGAGAAAGGGAAAGAAAGAGAGAGAAAGGGAAAGAAAGAGAGAGAAAGGGAAAGAAAGAGAGAGAAGGGAAAGAAAAGAGAGAGAAAGGGAAAGAAAAGAGAGAAAGGGAAAGAAAGAGAGAGAAAGGGAAAGAAAGAGAGAGAAAGGGAAAGAAAGAGAGAGAAAGGGAAAGAAATAGAGAGAAAGGGAAAGAAATAGAGAGAAAGGGAAAGAAATAGAGAGAAAGGGAAAGAAATAGAGAGAAAGGGAAAGAAATAGAGAGAAAGGGAAAGAAATAGAGAGAAAGGGAAAGAAATAGAGAGAAAGGGAAAGAAATAGAGAGAAAGGGAAAGAAATAGAGAGAAAGGGAAAGAAATAGAGAGAAAGGGAAAGAAATAGAGAGAAAGGGAAAGAAATAGAGAGAAAGGGAAAGAAATAGAGAGAAAGGAAAGAAATAGAGAGAAAGGGAAAGAAATAGAGAGAAGGGAAAGAAATAGAGAGAAAGGGAAAGAAAGAGAGAGAAAGGGAAAGAAATAGAGAGAAAGGGAAAGAAATAGAGAGAAAGGGAAAGAAATAGAGAGAAAGGGAAAGAAATAGAGAGAAAGGGAAAGAAATAGAGAGAAAGGGAAAGAAATAGAGAGAAAGGGAAAGAAATAGAGAGAAAGGGAAAGAAATAGAGAGAAAGGGAAAGAAATAGAGAGAAAGGGAAAGAAAGAGAGAAAAGATGGCGAGATTAGTTTCCGGAAAGTCTGTAGCAGCGACAAAATCACTTGAAAGAACCGTTTAAATTAGCCATTAGACCCTCCAATGGAAAACCAGTTCCTATTGTACAGGAAATAACGCTCACCTCCATTTTTCAAACAATGAAGATCTAATTATTTTTCGTAGGAATTTTATGTTTTTTGTTTAAAAAGTAAATCCAATATGATCGACCTTAACACTGTCAAAAGATGTCCGGCGATTTATACATAGCAAATTTGGAGGACTGAACTTTAGCTGTTATTAAGGGCGTTAGCGCTGAAAGTGATCACAAACTGTCCCAGTGGAAGTTTGAACACTGTTCGCCAGCTCCATTGCTCTATTCAGAGTTGAACATCTTTAAAATATAGAAAACACCTTGGTGTGTCTATCCAGACAGTTTAAATAGTAAATCAAACCGATCGCGACGAAATTTGGCCATCCCACATGTAAAATTTTAATATTTTAAATTCTTATTTTCAGAGTAATCATGCAATTCCAATTTTTTTCTTATTTAGCCTCCCTTTCGTATAAAGAAGCTAATCTTAATAAATATTACAAAGCAGTGAAAGTCTAATTGGTAGCTTAGACAGTTGCGTCTTTCCTGTCATCAAAAATGCTCAATGTTATCCCCAAACTTATATAACGTTTGTGATTGGACGCCTGTCGAGATTGACAAAGAGAGTAACAGCATTTTATTAGTACTGTCAACGAAGTAGGATAATTATGGGAAAGTGGTTTGTTAAAATTCTCACTCATGAACTATCAGCCATCTTTGTCTGCAAGTGATGAGATATTTAATCGAGATAGCTGGCACGGAACAAAGCGCAGGGAAAAATAGATTCATACATTTTCCAAGAGGAATAAGTGAACGATTGACAAATATTAAGTTTTCATCCAAATAACGGTAGGACATCACTTTTAAGTGACCAAATTATTCGAACAATTTCTATATTTGCTCTTTATTAGACTTCAGTAATAAAGCTTTTGAATGGTAAGAGTCGGTAAGTAATTCAGCAATGCGAAATCAACAGCTGTTAGAGGAGAACAACTGCGAGTGAAAGTAATATGGCGGCTCAAAAAGGATTGAGAGATTTTTATTTATTTTAGCATTTTAGATTTGGAACAAAAACAACAGAGAGCGTTTAGTGAAGGCAACGTTTGTGATAGTATTGTTTTTAAAATTTGTTCCGGTGCTTTTCTAATAATGAAAGAATCACTAATAAAAACAAAAATGTCTTGCAAAAGGCGACTGCTGATGACAAATTGAAAATATTTCAAACCAGACCATTTTCAATCGTGTCACATGCATTTATGTAGATGCAACTAGTTTAATGTAATTCTGCACTGAATCGAAAGATTCAAAGGTCATTAGATGTCCTAATTCAGAGAAGAACGCATACAATTTTTTGTTTTTTTAATTATAAGTCGTTTATAAACGTCAATTTTTGTATAAACCGCAACTGTTATTCAATTGCATATGCAAAACCATGGACAAAGGTAATTTTCTATGCATAAAAACTGATGCGTTTAAACAGTGTAATTATATATGTGAATGTCTAATGACTTAAACTTACACTATCAAGATTTAGTCACGATTTTATCATTTGGAGTAAATATTTAATGAGTTGTTTTGTAAGCGAAATGAATAGTGGAATTGTTATTGTCTTGTCAGAAAAAATTAATGAGGTTTAATGTGGATTACAATCAATTGACGAAAAGCTCTACACTGATAAACAAATGACAAGTGTTTATTTCCATTTCGCTCTGACTATTGTCCTCATCTAGTCAACACTCCTAGTGTAAAGGATGAAAACTTCCCTCCCTCTACAAATTCCGGAGACAGACTTCTTTATCTATAGTTTATCGATTTAAAAGCTACAACAAGGTTGGTTGGTTGGCTGAATTTGTTTCGCGGCATGCCAACCTCTATCGGTTAATTAATGCCATAATCTGAATATTTTGGACGCAATTTTATTTTTAGAGATAATGGTTTTAGTGGCACAAGACTTACTAATTAACCCATATCTGGGGGAGAAGAGGTAGATTCATACCTTTCCAAAGGATATTTGTGCGTAAGTGAATATAATGAACTCGACTGGAATTGGAACTCTGCTCTCCGATTAACATTTCCGAACTATTATCATTACACCACCCGCACATCCAAGCTTACAACACACGGTATTTCTAAGCGGTCACACCATCTAGGTACTGACGTAGCTTAACTTCGGTAATCGTATGAGAGCCACAAGAACATCCAATAGATAAAAACAGCTACCAATAGACAGCAAGATTAGCTTGTTAACCATTACTTTAAGGCTTGGCATCATACCCCTAAAATAAAGATAACACCTTCGGCATATATCTGTCCGTACCTAGGCTATACAATTAAAGCAAATGTGTTAAAGGGATATTGAAACTACAAAAAAATTGTTACTAAATGTTTACCCCTTAAAAAAGCTCAAACATCACTCAAAGCAGCGCGTTACTGAACGTGTGTGATATGAATGTAAGAGGTCGAGTATGAAGTTAAAATTATGAGGATATGGAGGATAGATAACGATCGACTCTTAACTTGAAAAAGTTAAGATTGTAGCGTTCGTGGAAGCACCCACGCGAGAGCATGTAGATTTCTGAATGGAACTTTCTTCTTACAAATGAAATACAAAGGTGATGATTCAACTTTGTGGATGTCGTACAGAGGGTCTAAGTCATGACGGTCTGGACTGGTGAAATAAAGAAAACGAACTCGTCCGAACATCGGCCATGGAAATAGCGATCAAATAGCATCAGGCTTGCGATGTTGCATCTGTCATAAAAAGAGGTTGCATGGTGGAAAATATGTCATTCCCAACAATGCTATGCAAATGACTTTGAACTCTACAAGTCTGGAAAGTGAATATTGGGCAGCTCCAGACCAAATTAATAGTTATAATTCCATAACAAAATCTGTTTCTTCTCTTGCATAAGCCTCTACTCGAAAAATGATACTGTTTAAGCTGATTACAAAGAACAATTTGTGGAATCTTGCTAGAAGTTTTTGGAAATACACAATAGAGTAACGTGTAAAAGAATTACAAGATCAGACATTAAATTTTTCCACTACCCAATCGCTTACTCAAATCGTGGACTTCCTTACTCGTTTCCATAGCAAAACCGCAACGGGCTTCTCTACTCAATGTATTTCTTACCTCTTCTCCTCGCTCATGCCGAGCTTCGCAACTCTGCACTCTTGGTAATTCTGACCACTCTGTGGTAGCGAGTGATATTTCGTTCTAATCCTCTATTAAAAAGGAACTCCCTATTTACAAGACCTCTGTGACACCCCTGGTGGTCGCAGCGCCAATATATGACACTGCATTGTCGGCCCGTGGTCAACTTCCAGTTGCGGCGCGAAGCTGTAAGGTTTCCTCCACCAGCGTTTTGGGGTTAACTCCTTGTCGCTGCCACCATCCTGTGTCATGGTTGATCTGGTCGTTCCCGATTCGATACCAACTTCTTGTTCTCAGCTCACTTCCAACGTCTGGTTAGTAACTATTTTGATCTCAAGTCTAACCTACCCACGTTGTGACTGATCTTAGGTAGACGAAATCAATCAACTGAATCCGGGGTGAAGGGGATATCGCACAAACGTAAGTAAAAGAAACAATAAAACAAAACTCAAGAGGTTCAAATATGTTGAGAAATAAATTATCTTTATCCGTCTGTTATATACAGGAGTGTGTTTCTCTCCCAGCCCGTTTCTATGGATTTGTGACACTTTTGCGTTTCTTAAGCGAGTTTTGGTATCTTAAGCCGTTCGTCAATATAACTTGCTTTTGGTAGGAAGGCGAAGTCGAAAGGACGTGGAATTTCTCTGTCAGCTTCTGCGAGGTAACACTCGCACTCTGTCCGGAAATGAACTCCAACTGCGAACCCAACTGAAACTGTCTGGAGATGTTCGTTTATATGGATACCGACCAAAACCCGGTGTGGGGACTGACGTGGTTTGGGTTCCTCGATAATTCTCGATTCCCAACAAGAATTCTTTGTTCTTAGGCCAGGAAAATTAATTACTTCCTATTTTTGGAAGATTAATCACTTTACATTTGGGGGGTTTAACCCTCGTCCGTGAGGGAAGGTTGGAGGAGAGTTAACCTCTTAGACTCTTCCTCTCACATTGGTATCTTATACCAATCCCTTCAGTAGGTGTTAACTTCTCTGCCTTTCTCATACATTCACCTCCGCCTATCACCCATGCTACCACTTGACCAATGTTCTCTCGTCAGTGTGAGTGCGGCTAGACTGGCCCTCTTAAAATTATTATCCATAATTTTGTTTACAAAATCCTTTTTTTTTTCTTTTTCCCATCGGCCCAAAACATTCTTTTACAAGCCCCAGATTGCCAAATAATTCTTATCACATCTTTCTTTTGGGGTCACCGAAAATTCACTTAGCCAGGACTCTCTACCGACTCATCAATCACTGTCAAAACCCGACATCTGGCTTCTCTGCTAAGTCAACTTTTAACTGGGGGTCCGTGTTTACCTGAGAATCAAATTCTTTATTTTTCTCATGCCTTAAAATCCTCTAGTCACCCGATGCCCATTTTCGACGACGCTGTGTCTGACGTCAACAGTCTGAAAAATGAATAACAATTTCCTCCACGATTTTCCAAAATTCTAACAAATACTAGATGATTTCCCTTCGTTGGACTCAAGAATCAAAATTAAATGATATCTCTGAAAGATAACTCATTGATTCTTTCTGTCTGTATCGCGGTCGTCGCAAGCTGAATTTTTTTATGATCGCCATGTGTCGCCCGGCTTTTTTTTTCTTTCTGAATTCTGTTTCCCTTGGCGCGACATCTTATGACATTAATCAGTTTTGACAGAATCTCATATCTCGCTTTTTCTTACGGATTTTCTGTCTCGTGCGAAAAGTATCTTTTATTTTGTAAATAAAAAAAAATCTTTTTAACGTCGCTCAGTTTCTCTTTCGATATAGCTCTTTCTCGTCTTTCTTTTTTTTT